TATATATATATATATATATATATATATATATATATATATACTGAAACACGATGAAATTGCATCCTGTGACTTCATAACCTCGAAAAAATTATGTTTCTTAATGCTTTATGAGCTCATGATTTACTATTGATTTGAAACAAGTTCTCCACCACCTCCACTAAACTAGTACATGTAAAGACTATCTCACCGAGTTTGGTGTGCACTCAGACACTTACAAGGCAATCCCTTCTTCTTCGCTCTATATATGAAGTACTCAGCCCTAGAAAATTTTGTGTATCTTGAAGCTTGAATCGACTGTGGAATTATAATTTCCTCCAAAAAAAACTCTGAAACTTTTGTCTATTTACCTTATTGTCATTGTTTAGCAAGCGTGCAATGTTCCAAGCACACCCCTCTCCAGATGGATTTAGCTTTCTGCACACAAAGTAGACAATCGAATCAGAAATATAGTGGGCAAAGATAATTGCCATATGGCAATAAAGACTTTTGGGTTATACTTTTGTAGCTTACTCTCTCAATCAAGTCTTTCGTGAGGGGAACAGAGAACCAATAGAACTAATTTCACTTGGAATAATCTGAGCTTTCTTCTCTGTTACACTCAGCAGATCTTTTGAGTTATACTATCTTAAGACCTTTTTAATTAATTGGCAAGCAAGTTGCTGCTTTTGTTAAAAAGAAAAAGATGAGATACATAAATGAGCTTGTTGCTATGACAGATACATCCAATTTCAACAGCAACAGTATGCACAGTATTCACTGTTGAATCTGCATCACCCTCTCAGGAAGTTACCAATTCATGTGTTTGTCCTTTGTCATTGTTTTTAGCTACAACAATCAACATTCGATCCAAATGGGACAGGGACAATCCGGCATCCTAAGCACCTCATAGATAAGAAATATGTGAGACATAAGTATCAGCCTTGCCTCAGAAAAACACACACACAAAAAAAAAAGGTCAAAATAAGATTCTATTTCCTGCTTTCAGACTTAAGGTCAGATAACCTGATATTACATTCAAGTGGCAAGATAGAACAATTATATAATAGAAAATGAGGTAAAAAAACCTCATTTTGTGTTAGAATTTCCACAGAAATGTTAGGTCTAATTCATGTGTAATTGGTTATTCATTCAAAAGGAATGTGTGATGCAATGTATAACAATATTTACTATGTTTTCTTGGGCAATTCTTGGAACTCTTTCTTCCTTTTATTGAAATTCCATGAGATGAGATGACATATATGTTACTACATTGCTCTCTTTTTACTTGCTAAAGTCCATTTCTTCCTTCGAAGGCACTGTTGTTCTCTCTCTCTCTCTCTCTATTGGTATGCCAAAAGTTGCATTTGTTTTAGTGATATTCTGAGAAAAGTTCTGGAACAAATTCTCATTCTTCATTGACTACGTTATATATATAAATATATCCTTTTAATGTTGGCTAGAGGATAATTAATTCTTCGATTCTCATTCTGGTTAAGGGATAAATGGGTCCAGAACATTAAGAACAATGCAGTCAAATTCTCTCTCTTCCTTAAAGGTCAAAAAATGACCTTTGCTAAAATTATTGAAAGCAACCCCCTATGAGTGCAAGACAAAAACAATAGGCCCAAATCCAATGGTCAAACACATGATACACTTCTGTTCCTTGGTCCTTAAATCACCACAACCTCAGTAAAAGAATACAAGGGTAACTGGATCAAGACAACTTTGTTTGACTACAGCTATTAACTAATAACTACAGACACAGGCTTCTGAAACCTGTCATTATTTACTGCTCTACCTCCTTACCCATCTGATTAAACCAAGGAAATGGTACTCGATCTAAGTTTACTTCCAATGCACCAAACAAACTATGTTATCACATTGCCGACACAGGCAAACTAAAATAAGAAACTATTCATGAAAACACTTAAATCCGACAAATAGATAGATAGATAGATAAATTGATGCGGTAAGGAGGAGATGGATGGAGTGGACAGACCTAGGAGACTTGGATTGTGGTGTTGGTGGGGTTGGCGTGCTGAGGGAACTACAAGGAGGGGTGATCTCATTCCCAGCTTTATCACATGACAGTCCTCCCTCCACTTCCTCCATCCCTCTCCTCTGGTTGAAGCACATTTCTGCCTGACCTTGGCCTGCAAAACAATTTCACCCACCACTAAGATCCAAAATGGTTATGCTTTCTGGGACAGACAGCATACTAATAATTCAAGCAAGGAAAGGCCAACACAACCACCAGTGAGGTTGTGATATCAGTGAGATGACTGAGTGATGGTATCGGACTCCCTTATAGAACAAACACCAAAGACATTTTGTAGGAGGTTTCTTGTGAAAGAGAAGGAATATGCAAGTACCTGCCGCTCCCCTGTCAGTGCTCTTCACTGTTCTATACATCTGCAACCACATGCACATGAAGATTAATGTCAGACTAACCAAAGGGAAAGGATCAAACCGACCACCATGCTAAGTTTACTTCGAGAAATGCCATTTTGTCCTTTTTCACTTGTAGGGATGTCCCGACACAACACAAAACCCTAACCCTAGTAGCATGATCAGGACTCGTGCAGGACATTAAGGGAATAATTGATCAGCAGGCAACTACCTGCAGATGGCTCTTTACATGAGCTAGCGTGAGGTCCTTCACGTTCATCAGCTCCAAGACCGATTTTGGCGTAGCTCCTGACAAGATCGATGTTTCGAGGAGGGTCATATCATTACTTATTCCTAACCATAACAAGAACGATTTCTTCTACGGTGAGGAAGCTTGAGTTGGTGTGCTCACTCTCGTGGCCGCCGAGGAGCTCCACCGCATGGACAAAATGAGCGTGGAGGGTGGTAGTCCACCTCATTCTTGGAGCCCTGACGCTCCTCTTCCCTCCTTGAGCCGATCGTGAGTTCCTCTTAAATCCATAGGTCTGAGGGTGACGAAGTTGGTCATGGTGATGATGGTGGTGGTGATCGCGGTGGTGTAGGTCGTGGCGATCAGCGACACTTGACCCCGGCGCCTCCAGCCCTAGGCTCAGCGTCGGTTCGGCATGGTCGAACTCCCGACCTTGGTCGTGGTGCAAGAAGGCTTGATCATGGCCCATGTCGCCCTCGCTTCTGCCGGAGATGGACGTCGCTGCTTCCCCAAAGAAAACCCCCGTCACCGAGCTTCCGTCTACGGAGATCGCTGGTGGACTGATGTGGAGTGAGAGATCAGGAAAGATGGTTGCCATTTAAGCTCAACGGAGCAGGCACGGGAAGATCAAGACAACCAATATGAAGAGAGTCTTTCTTCTGCTGAGAATTAAAGTTTAGGTGAAGAGCGTTTTGGAAGAACGAGGAAGGGTTGATACTGGGAAAGGGAGACAGAGATAGGTGGTGGACTAGAGTGGCGAATGAAAAGGAGATGGTGTGGAATGGTGGAATAAATAGAAGCTTTTGGGTGATTATTAGGTCATGAGTGGGTTATGATTTCCATAGGTGTTGTGTTTACAGACTATAAACTACAAAGAAGCTAGAGAGAGAGAGAGTGACAAGACTAGGATGGTGGTAGGAGAATGGCAAATGTCTAGGACCTAGCAAGAGGATAATAAATGCTGTAGGATGGCAGGAAGAGGCGAAGGAATTGCAGGGTTCCCAGATAGCTAGGCATGAGATGAGAGAGACTGACCCAGTGGGAGAAAGAGAGTATATATTTGAAGGATGCAGAGGTATGATACCTAGAGAGAGAGAATGTAAGATCTCTTTCCTCTTTCATGGAAAGGGTTGTGAAGGGGCGTTGCAGGTAATTAATGGAGAGAGAGAGAGAGAGAGAGAGAGAGAGAGGGAGGGGGTAGGGGGGTTGGGTTTCGTGTGT